GTATTAAGGAAAGGGAGAAGAGAGGTTTCGGCGGAACGTCGAATTCCTCCACCTGCCCCGTCATCGATCGCGTTTTACGCATTTAGGACATCCTACATATCATTTATTATACATTCAGGGCACGGTAATGGCATTGAAGTGTAATAATCGCTTCTGTAATCGATCTTGAGAGAGACGCGCGCGTATCGTTTTTTTTTTTTTTTTTTTTTTTTCTTCTTCTTTCGCCTGTCGAATTTTGTCCCCGTAGTTTTCTGACGTAACGCCGCTCAAGCTAATATTGACGCGATGCCATATATCTGTCGATATCGTTTTTCTTTAAACGCCTGAAGAGTGCTTTTTCCGAATATTTCTTTCTCTCAATCGTGCGACGACGAGTGCTCGAATTGTGACTTGCAATTTGGTTTCTCCGAGAGAAGAATTTAACTTTGCGGATTAACTTGTTCTCGCGACGTAACGCGTCGTCGCGAATTGTAGCGCGAATTTTTCTCGCGCGCAACTTTGCACGGGGTTGAACAAAATCTTCTGCGCACACTCGCGCGCGACCAAGTGAGAAATCACGTCGAACGACGGAATTAACATAAAAAATGCGAATCGCGATACGCCGACGAAACTGTTTTTTTTCCCCCATCGATGAGAGAGTGGATTTATTTCGTTGCGTTTAAATGACGGATCGGCGCAATTAACACTATCTGCTTCAATAACGAGAGATAAAGGAGAATCGCTTTCTATTTCCCAGCTGACGTCACTGTCTCGATCGGCTGTGTGTGTGTGTGTGCGCGCGTGTGTGCGCGAACACACAAAGGTTCCTTTAATTGCTTTAATTACCTAGGCACCGATGCTTCCGAATACCACTTTGTAGAGAAAGGAGAATCTACTTTATTTTCTATAGCGCGCGGCAATTCGCAATTACCTATTCCCGGTGGGGATATTTCTTTTCATCGCGCGAACCGACGCTGTGGGCGCGTCAGTTTTCCTTCATTGTTTCTTTTTCATTACTAGATTCTTCAACAAGCTCTTGCTTTTTTTCTTTATACAAAGATTGGTTGACACTTTGGAGCGGGTGTTATCCATTCCGTACTTTCCGAGATCAAAAAAAATTTCCAATCGATCATTAAAGAACCACCCAGTTTTTTTTTATTGTTTATTAGAACATCCATTCTTTCGTTTGTACGTACGTGTAAAATGTGTGTGTTGGTTTATTAAATTAATATACTTATCGCAGTTTTTTTTAATATCCTTCGGAACAAACTCAATTCTTTCCGCGCGCGCGCGAGCGGGTTGGTTTATTTTGGCCCAGTTTTATCTTCTAAAAATACGCGAAACTTCTATACATATATATATATATATATCATTTATTTTTAATTTCACGTCCGATTAAAAGTGTGTGTATTTTATTATTAACTTAATTATATTATTAACGCAAAAAAGGAGATTGCGCTCGAACTCTCGAGCGCGCGCTAAACACACGCACACGTGAAGTTTTCTCAAACTTTTCGCTCGGATTTCCTCTCTCGCAAGCAGGGGGGCAAACTGCGTGGGGTGTGGGAGATGATAGATACATCCCTCTCTCTCTCTCTCTCTCTCTCTCTCTACACGTTGCGTGATATAATATAATAACCATACGGCGAAAGCCGTCGAAGGTGAATGAACGTCGGCGATTACTTCGCGCTTGTCGCGTCAATCACCGATAATAAAATTGCAGACGCGCGACGCTGTTTAGTACATTTTGCGTTACTTGACTTGCACACATGAGCGCGCAACTCGAATGTAACGCACGTACGTACATATATATATATATATATATATATATATTGTGCGGCGACAACACACTCTTGATGACTCATTTTATTATTGTCATCGCTCGATTAGCTAGGGATTTTCACGCCGCCGTTTTGGCTGCGCGCGCGCGCGAAACTCTCTTCTCCTTTCCGTCGGTCGCGCTATGACGAATATTATATATATATTTCTCTCACGTTTCACGCCTATCGCTTTTATACACGCCGCAGGAAAAGATAAGGTCTTTAATTCCGTCGCCGTCGCCGTCGCCGCCGCCGCGCCGAGAGAGACGCGGGATTTCCCCGATTGCCTTGGTTGGCAGCAATTTGCGCTTTGTGTGCGATACTCGGACGCGAGGAGGAACAACTTCCGTTGCGAATTAGCGCGCGTATTATTATTTTCTCAATGTGAGATTTTTTGTTCGAATCGCGCGTAAAAATAAACAAAAAGTAAAAAAAAACAAGTCTTATTCTTTCGAACAAGCTGTCGCGAGCTGCGTTTTATTTTTCCGGGAAAATTTGCAAATCATCCGAAAATGATGCGCGCGAACGGAGGCGCGCACACAATGCTCAGCTTGAGCACAGGCTTGTCTCTCGGAGAGAAATGAAACGTGGAGAAACTCGCGCGCGCAGAGAGATAAAGAAAGGAACGTAGAACACGCGCGCTCGCGCGCGCGCTATCTACATTATCTATTTCTTCTTCGGAGAAAGGAAATAATAACGAGCTAGACTAAACTCTCGCTTCTCTCCACACCGTGTTGTTCAGTTAGGAGAGGAAATTTGTTTTTTTAGTTATCTCGTTGTCTCGAAATGTTTTTATCTGCAGAACCAGTTATCTTGGATTACTAATGGCGATTAGAGTAATTAAAAAAAGAAGTTTTTTTTCGTTAAGTATTTTACAGAGAGTTTATATTTATCAGTTTTGTTTCTCGCTGTGTCTCTCTTTCTCTCTCTCTCTTTTTTTCTTTCAAAGGAGACCTACACTGAGAAAAAAATACTATTAACTCAACTAAATGCGTTTAGTTGGGTTTCAGTTTGTTATCTGAAATATCTTGTTTTTTTTAATTCAATCATATGGTAATAAAGATAACAAATTCGTATAAGTTGAATTAACAATAGTGGAATAATGAACATATTTAATTCACTAAACCATATGAATTGTTTTGTCGAAACATAAGTTGTGATAATTTCAAATCAAAGATACTGTTAAAAAATATGAAATAGGCAATTCTCATTTACTTTAATTGAATATAATCTGAATTTCTTTGTACTAAGTATTTTTCATCTAATCAAACTGCTTATTTTTATAAGCAGACAAAATATTGTGTTGTCCTATTGTGTTGTACATTCAAACTTACTTGTATTTAAGCAAATTATAATTTTGTTAAAACAACTAAATTGTTCTTTCGGTACAACCTAATTATTATATCTATTGAAACATGATATCTTCTTACATTAATCAGTATTTCATTGACAGCCCGTGACCGCTGCATATAGTTGAATCAAATACTATTTTGTTACTTCAACAACTTTTTTTTTTCAGTGTAACATTTGTTTCGCAAATATATGCAAACACTTTTCCGCCTGTTTTTTTCGCGAGTTTTAACATCCGCAAGTGCAATGACGTATGTGCGCCACGCATGCGGCGAGAATTACCGTTTGACTGAAGTATAAATTTATTATGCAAAAAATGCGCGCGTTTAATTCGAAAAGCGAATACATATTTTGGTTTTTTTTTTTTTTTTCACCCACAATGTGGCAAATTCGTTGATCCAGCGCGCTCGTTTCTCTCGTCTGTAAAAAACACCGCGACCGGCTTAAATTAGTTCCTCTCTTTCTCTCTCTCTTTCTCTCTCTCGACACTCGGGCGATTTATTTATGGGCCCGAAATGTTTAATTCGGTCACACTCGCCGGCTAATTCTATACGCCGCCGAGTTGTAATAGTTTCGTATTTATAGTAGTACATTACGGTAATAAATGTATATTGTGGTGTATCGCGCGTTTATTTGCCACGTTGAGGGTATTGCCTCGTTTGTGATTTTAGAATCTAATGCAATAATAATGTTGAATATCCACTTCGGGACTAGAGTGTGTAAAGATTTCATGCACCTGCCGACAATAGCGAGACATTTCGCCAAGAATTTTAAAAATGTGTGAGCCGAAGCAGAGACTCCGAATTCCTGATATGTGCGATATTTGGATTAGAATGTTTATAAAAAAAATGATGTTACCAAATAGAGTTTATTTATGCACAGCACTTGTAAAATATGCAAATAAACTTTTGAAATTTAAATAAACAAACTGTTGGTGACACAACAATTTATTAATTTACATCAAATATAAAAAACAAAACTAGTGATGACTAACTTAAAAAAAAAAAAAAAGGATAATATTTTACAATTGTGAAATAAATGTTCTTTTATTTATTTATTTTTTTTTTTTCAACAGAATTCTCTCGGTTGCGATTTGTGCGCGCGCGCGCAAATTTATCTCACGCGTTAAAAATTCAATCGGAGATCAAGTTTCTGAGATGCTCAATTATCAATTCCAATTGAAAAAAACACGTTCTCCCATAACAACGTCATGCACGACATCGTTCTCTTTTATTCCGTTTTGAAAGCCGCAATCTCGCAGTGGTAAACGATTCGACACTTTGTTTGCCGGTCCGTGGGCACTGAAGCACATGCCATCATCAGCGCGGCGGCGCTTTGCGAACTTGTTCGTCGTACGCACACACGGCATTAAAATCGATACATGAAAGTGACACGCGCGCGCGAGTTTCATTGAATTATTAGGTTTTAAAGCGCGGTGGTCCAGTTCTGTCGCTCTCTGCGAACTGTCGTGTTTATTATCGCTCGCTTATTTCCTATGGCGCGCGCGCGCGCACGTACAGCCGGGAGGCGAAGCTTTTATGCGTCGCGAAACGCATTATCCGCGAGAAGTCGCGAATGAAATTTGTATATAAAAAATAAAAGCGTTTTTTTCTTTCCCCCGACGCTCTCGCGTTGAGAAATTACCGGTCGACAAATGCTTATCCGATTGTGAAAATTTTGATCGAATTGCGTCAAAGTAAACTCGCAGTGACGTAACGTTATGTAAGACGAACGAATATGATAAAAAGTGTTTTTTTTTTTCCTTTTCAAGTAATGTTTTTTTTTTTTTTTCAAGATTTTTTGAAACGCAAATAAATCTGATCTTTTGGTTTTTTTCTTTTTCTGTTACAGTGCTCTTAATATTCCATCCAAAGATTGATTTTCAAGACTTGTCTCTTATTCAAGACGTGGTGCAACAATGGGTCGTAAGAAGATTCAGATTTCACGTATCACAGACGAACGGAATCGTCAGGTAATTACAGTGACAACAACAGTCGAACGAGACTGACGTTCTTTTTTTACGTAACAATCCAATTTAGCTCTATAATTGCAATTAATGCACAATACGTTCTTAAGTGTCGTAACAACGCGAAGCGTAGACTAAAATAATTAAACTTTAAAGGTCTTTTTTCTCTCCCGTTTCATTTGATCTTTTCGAGAGAAAAAAAATTGCGCGACATTATTTTTTGTCGGTATTAAATGGGTATTTAAATATCTTTTTTACCACGCTGTTTCTCTCGCGGAATGTGTAAATGATATTGAACGCACATAATAATCGAAATATTGGTGATCCTGAATAAATACACGAATTATTAGCCAGCTCTATTTTCTGTTTAAAACGATATATGGAACAAATCGGCCTTGAGATAATTATCGATATGCAATAAATCTGGCAACTCAATGCGATATGACAATTTTGATGTGTGCTCTAGTAAATAAATCGCAATATAAATAAATATCACGTATAGCAATTAATTTGCTGAAATTAATTTTATACACTGCATCTCAGATGCAGATCCGGCGCTTATGTTTTTTTCTTTTTTCTTTTATTTCTTTTTTTTTTTCCAGTAATCTCTTAATGGACGCAAATCTCTCTCATTGAAGTTCGCTTCTAATGTATTCTTTTCTCTCCCTCTTTTTTTTTTTTTTTTTTTTTCTTTTATACGCGACAGGTGACTTTTAACAAGAGAAAATTCGGCGTGATGAAGAAGGCGTATGAATTGTCGGTGCTGTGTGACTGCGAGATTGCGCTGATTATCTTCAGTTCGAGCAACAAGCTGTACCAGTATGCGAGCACCGACATGGACAAGGTTCTCCTCAAGTACACCGAGTACAACGAACCCCACGAGTCTCTCACCAACAAGAATATCATCGAGGTGAGTCCATTTATCCGCTACAGATTCTCAGGACGAACGAAGAGAGAGAGAGAGAGATGCGCCCGACAGCGAATCCTTCGCTCCGAAGATCCAAGTTGTTGACAATCACATCGGCTTCTTTATTTTTCGCAATCTTAATTCGAAAAAAAGTTCTGATAAAAGATAGATGTATATCTCTCTATAACTTTCTTGTATAATTCCGGATATACACCGAGATCAAGATAAGACGGTATCGAATGCGCTGATACGTATCGAGAAGGAGCTTTTTTACTATGAATCACGAGCGATAAAAAACAAACGTGAAAAGATTATCAATGTTTGTGTTAAAAACATAAATATTTGTTCGATCGCGCATCAACGTTCATAAATCAAGTTCCGAGGAATATAAATGAGCAGATCGAGATTATTTTTGCGCGTACATATTTCAATGATAATTTTTAGTTTTCTACGATTTTTTAATTTTAGATTTACGATTTTTTTTTTTTTTTGTTATAATTTACAAATCGCGAAAATAGAAAAGACGTATATGGAATACAAATGTTTGAAATAATTATTTGTTTTTCGATAAATATATACGCCTGAAATTTTTGCGTGGCGCAAAATTTGCATATTCGTAAACACTTTGTCAAACACTTTGTGTTTTTCGTAAATCAACATATAACATATGTATATCTTGATAAATTTAATTTAAATTCTTTTCACATTTGGTCAATGAGATTCAGAATTTGGAGACCAACAGTCAGAATGTAATTACGTGTTTATTTCTTACTATAATTCGGAATAAATTTTTACTGATGACTTTTCTTCATAAATAATCTCTTACGAGAAGAGAAAACGATGATGATGATTTTATACATTGCGCATACACGCTTGCAATATATGCTCAAGTGCACGTCATACTTATTACTTTTGTTTAATATACGATCTCATTCGGATGAGAGCGATGCGATCTTCATTTTTCTCGAGCGAAACGTAATTGCGAGAGTAAAAAAACTCGGTTAAAATAAGAAGCGTGCGTCTTGGTGTTAAATTAACGTGCATGTGAAAGTTGAGTGCCCTCGGGCGGTGTGGTCACGTGAACCTGTCTGCTGACACTTGCAGGCGCTCAACAAGAAGGAGCATAAGGGTGCCATGTCGCCAGAAAGTCCGGAACCCGAAGCAATCGAATATAATCTTACCCCGCGTACCGAGGCCAAATACACGAAGATCGACGAGGAATTTCAGATGATGATGCAGAGGCACCAGCACAACGGCAGCAGGGTAAATATTCTGATCAGTGTCGAATTGTCTCATGTTTGTACAAATTGCGATTTTGTTTCATTCATACACACATTTTTATTATTTATATTTATATAAACTATGCAATATACACCGGTCGAAACTTGAAAATTTTTATATCACATTGTACAAGAGATACATATATTTTTTTATATATAAATAATCATTTGATTTAATCTTTCCAGTGCGTATAAAAACGGTTAATAATGTCACATACACACATACACATAAGGAAATACTAAAATTGTCGCTTTGGATTCATTTATATCAAGACTATTTCGAACAAATTACTTTATAAATTTGTCTTCGTCAAAATGACTGACATATGAATATCATATTTTATTCAAAGTCTGTCACGTGACAAGGATCAATTTCTCTAACGTGATTTTTCCGATTATTTTTGTTATTTTCCGCAAAAAGAAAGAAGAGTAAGTATGTGATAAAGATTTTTTTAAATTGTTTTTTTTTTTATGCACAGAAAGGGAAAGAGAAGAAAAACGAATTTTATAGTGGTGTGTGTGTTGGATTAATTATTAAATACAAACTTGATGACATGTTATATAACTTTGAGCAATTCTAAAAATTAATTTATTATATACACACCTATTTTGTATATAATTTTAAGAATTGTCCATGAAAATTGCACGTTTCAATATTTTAAATCAAATTAATGGTTTTGTTTGAGTAACAACATTACTTTATACGTCATCTGACAACATTATTTACATATACATAAATATATATTTATTTACTTGATATAATCTATTTTCTCTTTTGTCGTATTGAGTGTGTGTAAAAAAAAAATTTAATTTGTACGTATTTCATTACGTATTTCATAATAAAAAAAATTGTACGCACACAGGCAAAGTAAAACTTTACTGCGAAACCGCTCAGTAGTTGCTGATGGTAATCTATTCTATACGCTCTTGTGTACAAGTGTAATTAATTTATACATTATTGCGATATGTTGTTGATTACAGTCAATGGGCCAGTCAAATTATAGCCTACCAGTATCTGTACCAGTGAACAATTACGGCGAATCTCTTCTTGGAACTAGTCCGCAGATGGCGCATACCAGCATTTCTCCACGTCCATCCTCATCTGAGACGGATTCAGGTAAACTTCCATATAATGGAGACAAATGAAAACAATAAAAAGAGAGACATATTTTTCGATATAGTTTGTTTGGAAACTTTTCCACATCCTCAATAAAACGTTTTAAATTCGTTCGTTCCAGTGTATCCCCCGGGAGGAATGTTGGAGATGAGCAACGGCTATCCTCCGTCAGCGTCGCCATTGGGTGGCTCGCCTAGTCCAGGACCTTCGCCCGCGCTCGTCGGTGGGGGTGCAAATAAAGGCAGCAATCCGTCTAGACATTCGCCGCAACCTCCACCACCACCGCCACCGCCTCATCCACATAGAGCTAACCTTCGGGTGGTTATACCGACTCCGCTCACGCAATCTCTCTCCGAAGACACTAATTATGATGTAAATGTCTCATTATTATTAGTTTTCTGAACAAAAAGCGTTAATCTCTGTAAAAATAAACGAGGAAAAAATACGTATTTTTTTTTTATTTTTAGAATGCCCATACACAGTCCGCATTGAATACACCAGTAGTAGCGTTACAAACACCGTCAGTACCAGCCGGATATTCTAGCTTCGGACCAACAGATTACTCCTCGGATCTCGGGAGCCTTGCATGGTCTCATCAGAGGTACGTTGATGACTTATCAATGTATTCGGCAGCCACCATGTCCAGCATCAGGTAAATTCATATTTCATAATTATTGTTGTGAAAGAAAACTATATGTCTTCAGTGTTGGTATGATATAACTCTCGCAGTTATTTTTTTACACATTAAGTTAATGTACGATATTCTTGATTATATAATCAGTTCGGAAAAAAAAAAATAATAATCGAACGCGCATTTATGTCATAATAAAATATGATACACACACGTCTGTAAAAATCACACACGATAAACGTAATACATTCTCATAATTGCTGCAATAATTAAATTCACAACGAAATATATTCAGTATACAGCTTTAATTAGATTTCTTTTTTGCGTTATTTTACTCATCCTTTATATTCCTGCACTTCTTATTTCTTTTTGTGTTTCTTTTTCACGTTTAATTTTTATTGCAGTAAAAATTTCTTATCTGCGTTATTACTTGATAGAAGTAATTTGTCACGGGTATACTGCTAGATATATCGTAGATATATCGACTACTGGGGCGCTATAGTTTTTTTTCGATTGCAACAGTGTTTGGCATGTCATTGCTTTGTGAGTGTGTTGGATACCTCTTCATTCTCACTTACATAATAATATACATTAGGTCACATTGTTATTGTGGTGTTACGTTCGTCATCAAACGTATTCATTTTCATATCATTATTCGATTATTTTCATTCGCAATTTTATTCGCACGATATCGTCGTCGCACGCTTTCGTCGAGTAGACAACGCAGATTTTGAACGCAAAGTTGCGGGATAATAATTGCGGGATGCAAGCAGTGCGGTACAGCTTCTTAGATCGCTCTTTTATATTGGATTTTAAACACACTTCGTGCACAAGATGTTTCCTCTCAATATCATGTTCAAATTTCGATATTGCAGCAGTGGTCTTCCTCATTTAGCTGTGTCAAGCAGCACGCCACCGCCATCCACGTCGCCCCTACCTGTAAAAATAAAGAGTGAACCGATCAGTCCACCGAGAGATCCGCACGGCGGTAATAGCGGGTCCAACGGCGGGCCCAGCAACGCCAGCAGTCTGCATCACACGAACTTAACGGTCGGACCTTCATCTAGTACCGGTGCTCCGCCGCCGCATCACGTATCTCATCCGGGTCCCCAGACACTGAACTTAGTATCGAACAGACCGAGCAGTAATCCACCTCCGTCCCATTCGGGTAGCATAACACCGACAAATCTACCGTCGCCAGGTAGTGGTGCGGTCGGTGACATTAGAACGAATCACTCTAGCGGCGGCGGGAACGGAGGGAACAGTTCGGACTACGAGAACGGGCCGCTCATGAAACGCTCGAGAATCACGGAAGGTTGGGCGACTTAATGTCGATCGAATTGTTGCACTCGTCAGTTGTTTGATACCTCCTCCTCGACGTACAACGGCATATAGTGCTTGTGAGTTCCAGTATAACTAAAGAAACAAACTCCTTTTAGACGTCTTTGAGACATGTACTTCGTACTATCGCGATTTTAACGATAGCTGTGGGGTGGTATTTGTTTCCGCCGTTTAACTCTCTCAGCGGAGTGGAAAAATCTGTTTATATTTTGAAGCTGACACAGAATATACGTTTATTTGAAGAAAATAAAAAAAAAAAATAAAATACGGTGCCATAATGTTGAAACTTTATATATATATATTATATATATATATGATATATATAGATACATATATATATTTTCATGTATATAATATGAAGTGTTGTTTGTATATATGTCATAAAATTCGTATTAACCTTCGTGACTACGGTCGAATTGCGGGCAGTATAGCCTCGATGCTTCGTGAAAGCAAAAAAAAAAAAAAACAAGCTAAGAAGATGCGTCGTAAGAAATGTTATGCGAATGGAAAACCGTATGTTATAGAAGTAATTGTGAAATTTTCTGAAAGTGTAACTAAATATCGAATTTAAAAGAGCTTGTGAAGAAATCTGCACACACGTAGGTAGAGTGTAAAGATTTACAAAGACCAGAAGTTTTGTGTCGCAATTCGTTGTTGTTTTGTATGGTATAGTAGTCAGAATATGCCATAATATATCCGTTAATATCCGACTTTGTGCTGCAAAAAAAAAAAAAAAAAAAAAAAAAAAAAAAAAAAAAAACAATTATTACATTTTACTCGAAATAGACATTTATGATTTATACAAAAATCATATCTGATCGAACATGGTTAGCTTTTACGTAATTTCTCGATTATTGATACCGTCCGAAATTTTTCCCGTGTTTTCTTTTTTATGTTATCACGATGTCAGATCATGGCAATCAGGAAGTAAAATTAATTTCGATCGGAAAATCGATTACGAAAAATTACGTAGTAGCTATTACGCAATAGTTGTTTGTGGACAATTAAATCTATTGCAGAGAAGAAAAATGCTTATCTGTCAAATTTCGTTATCTCCAATTCTTCGTTCATTGGGATTTTTTTTTCGGTAAAATCATTTTTATTTTTTATATAATTTTTTGTATGTTTTTTATTAGATTTTTTTTTTTTTTTTTATATATATTCTCGGACTAAAACAATTTTACAGCTGTGAGTTTGTTAAACGACTTGTTCCGGTTGTTTCCGAGTGCGCGGAAAAACCGGCCGATGTACTCACACTATTTACACACCGATATATTCTATAGAACGAGATCCGAAATTTATAATATATTGAGTTACGAGATAAAATATAACGAGATAGATAGATAGGCGTATTATTATAGTGTTGATTGATAAAAAAAAAAAAAAAAGATATATACACACAGCGCGCGTATAGATACATTACATATATATACACGTTATATACATTTTCCACAAGTATTTTGCACATTTGTATAAAGAAAAACTTACGAAGGAAGAACGCTTGAAAAACTTTGCAACCCTTGAAGCCTAAAAAAAAAAAAAGAAACGCATAACGAGAATTTATACGCTACAGGTGTTATATGCCATGTATATTTTAAAAATGTGATTATATAAAATTTTATCGTAAGGATGATTCAGTGATATTAATATTAATAATTGTAATATCGTAAATTTTGTAAAAAAAAAAGAACCCAAAAACAATCACATATTTGACTATATACATTTTACTCGAAATAGACATTTATACATGTGTTTGCCAATCGCGATCAGTTTCGTGTAAATCTCCGGAGTTGACTTGAACAATTATATGTAAACATTCAGAAAACTTGATCATACATAAAAATAAAAAAAACCAAACAACATTTGTTTATAGAAAAACGAGTTCAAAAAAATCTTTCATTGCAGATACCCGTTCTGTGATAAGAGAGAAATTTTACTGTAGAGAAAAGATCATTCTTTCCGATATATCAGAGACGCGGTCAACAATGTGTTGCGTAAAGTCTAAAAACGATTATCTGGCAAAACAGGGTTGCAATTGTAATGAAATAGAATCATTATCTTCTTCCTGTGAAAAAAAAAACCAGTGAAATAAAAAAAAAAAAAAATGTGTCAAGACCGTTTCATTGTTTTACAATCTCAGGATATATCCTGGTGAGAATTACTCTCGAGAGTTATATTTGATAAATTATTATAATTAACTTACTAAAAAAAAAAAAAATAATAATGTGGAATACGCAGGTATATGAATGAATAGTGCCTGGCACCATTTGTGGCCCTCCTGTTAGGATGCTTTCCCGTATCGTATATGCAGTACAATTTGTTAATGAAGTCTTGAAAATAAGCTAATAACTTACGCGCGATATATATTATATATGTATATATGTATATATATATATATATATATATATGTATATGTATGTGTATATATATATATATATATATATAACGGGAAAGGATGTTGTAAGCTTTATATAATGTGACTTTTTGACAAATAGCATTGGGAAGGCAACCTTTAATTAATTGTAATCGACGGTTGTACAATTGAGACGTGACCCCTTGGGTGGAATTCAGTTTCTTTATGAATGCATATTAGAGAAACGTTGATATGACTGTACGAGCAATCGCGGTATGTGGAATAAATATGAAAGCGTTATATAAGGCGCGTATAGTCATTAATTTTAATCACGAATTTTTATGATGATCACAAAGTGCAATCTCTTAGCCAACACAACTTTTTTATCAAACAAAAAAAAAAAAATATAAAGAAATTGTTATTTTTCATAATGAAGAAGTAAACTTTAATGTATTTAAAGATATATATGTCACCAATAGTTACAAACTTTTTCCTATTGATACAAAATTTATTATATTTCATTGATATTCAATATTGTAATATATTCTATTCATATATTACGAAGGATAATCATATACATATATATATATTATATACATACGTCTGTGGTTCGAGTTGCAAATGGATTTATATTTTGAAACTTTTTCGTATTTGTACGGTTTTTAGATATGTGTTGAACGCAGGAACGCGGGTTAAAACAAAAAAAAAAAAAAAAACAAAAAGGCAATTTCTCGCATTGTTTTATCGAAGAACGTTTATATATATATATATATATTTTTTCCGTTGACGCGTTCTGACGTTGAATATATATGTATGAAATATAAGAAAAAAAAACACTTGATTTTCTTTTCATTTTACATTGGCAAAAGTATTACGTTTGACGTTGAAATGTCTCTGTCAGATTTATCTCTCTCACACAGGATATATAATTTTAAATTAAATGTTACAACAGATATATACTATAAATCCTTGTTAATTCTTTCTCTGAAAATGCCCTATTGTGATATCGAAACTAACATGATCCTTTTTGCATAATAGTCCATCTAAGGTCATTTAAGTGTTCCGACATCAATACACTTCTATACCAGTTACAATGTGATGTGAAAAGCATGAGCAGTACTTTATATGCAAGGTTTATATGTGCTATCTGGATCTATTTTACCACATAACGTGCAGTATATAATAAATGCATAGCGAAACCTTATAAGAATAGACAATTTGTTAAATGTACGTTAAGTACACATGTACGTACACTTCAATGTATATTTTTAATATGAAATACGTGTAAGTTGTATAACTGTGAACAAAAAATAAGTTGATGTAATGATGGAAAAAAAAAAAAAAAAAAAAATGTATTCGTCTTGATTGGCACAACTAATGATGAAGAATATACATTGTTAATACTATTGTATAGATCATGAATGAGAGATACGTTTTTTCAGATTAATTGGAAATTGTTTTAAGATTGTTTTTTTTTAACTTGGCACAAGTTTGGAAAAGTTTTTTTTTTACAGACCCAGTGAATAAACCTCATCTTCTACATGAACTAATTTTCTCTCGTTTGACAGTTGGGCAATTTGATGCAATTTGTTTGTTGCGAAGATACGTTGTTGTGTTTCGCGAATATACACATGTATATATTATAAGTATACGTGAGACGTGGCCGCTCTGTTTACGCGAGCCTATGTAGTTTGTAATCGTATAAAGTTTAAAAATAAATGTTTGTTTATGTTATTATTCGGAATACTCTTTGGTTGCGTGCCGTGAATTACATGATCATTTTAGTTGTGCCTCAAGATTTCGATATTCAATACGTAAAGGTAATGATAATTATTATAGTTAAACACTCAGAGACTATTGACATTGTTGGAAACGCTGTGAAACGAAATGGACCATCGTTAGAAGAGCCATACGCATAAGATAAATAAGGTCTAGCATGGTTTGGACGTTTTGTATATTGCAACGCGTTAAATTAAGAGATTCTTTGAAAAAATAAAAAAAAAATAAAAATAAAAAACACACAAAAAGGGCCATTTGTAGGCTTTTTAGAGGCAATGTTCGCAAATAATCGAATTGCAATGCACGGCACAAGTACCAGATCACTGTAATAATGTAACAAAATAAAAAAAATACAATGTATATGTACTAGCCACAAAAAACTGTTGTCACCACAAATAAAATAAATAAACAAATATATGTATACAATGATAAGTTTAAATACAGGTTTAAGTACTGGACATATCTCTGTAAAGCCAAGTAGCATCACATTTTTAAACGTCATAAACGATGTCGCCATTTTACTGTTATATATCTGTGCATTTTGAAACTACAAAAACAAAAAAAAAATAATAATAATAAACGGTATAGCCTGTTTGATACGTACACGATCACACGAGAATCCTACATATATTTTTTAACGGTATATAATTATCGCATTGATTTTCTCCGACTTAAAAGTTTTGAAATGCACTCTGTAAACAAAGTATGAGAACGGAGGTGAAGATACATACTTTGGACATTATTATGTAGTTTATACACGTATTTGTATAATAATACGGTTTAAACGAGGTTGTTTGATGATATATATTCCTCAAATTGCGTATCGTACTGTTACAACTGATTTCAAGAGGTACAGTTACATTGTACAATGTATAAATTTTAAACAGAAAATGTATATGTATACAATAACATACACAAAACACACACACACACACACATTACACGAGAGATTTGCATCGTGCGTACATGACCGGGCTGTATGCAGAGATGTGAACAATTATATGTATAAAAAAAAAATTTATTATAATAGTAATAATATACATTTATTATATAATAGTCGTGCGTTACGTTTAGCTGATAATTGCGAGAATAAAGGAAAGTAATTCATATAGTGCCATCATTAACTGACTAATTAAGAAAGATACCGATTTTACGTTTAAGTAGTATATCATAGA